GAAGATGGTGTTTGTGGGTGTAGTATGTGGGTATTGTCGGGGTTTCAAATATACTTGCTGATGGGGCATGTTACTGAATGTTACTGTGGGGGGTATTGTGGGAAATTCCAGGTCCATAAAGCTCGATGATGTTTGTGGATTTACTGTGAGAATAGTGTGGGTATTGTATGGGTACTGCTAAAATCTGATGTTTGTGGATGCACTGAAGGTATATGTGGGGCTTTGGCAATAACTATTTCGTGTGAGAATATCATAGGTGATTTGATGTCATCCATTTTGATGCTGATAATCTAAATCGCTTTATTTCTAAACATTCTTCACACCAATGATCAGGCATCTTTTCTTTCTCAATATTCTATACATTCTCTTAACATTTGAAATTTCCTAAACCTAAAAACACCCAAAGAAAGACCAAAAAAAGGCCAAAAACATACCCATTCTCGAGCCATCTTCCTCCACCAATGTTGCCGAGTCATTCCCATTGACTATCTTGGCTCGGTCTAGCTTCGGAAGGGCCTCTCCTGTGGGACGTCGATAGACAATTGATGTATTTAAATCGATACAAGGTCGTCGATGTGTATTATTTATTTCATGCTTGGTTTTTGGGAAATTCAGAGGTATCTTTCTGGCTCACAAAATGAACGACGGATTCGCAACTACATACATTTTTTTAAAATTTCCATAAAGCTTCATGCGGTGTAAATGAGACAAAAAATATTCTATATATTTTATCAGAATCCATCTAAAAGAATTAATCTAAAATAATTTATAAAAAGGTATTAACCTAAGGCTGAATTTATCTAGAAAATAATTGACCAAAAGGAATGAATTCAAAATAGTATTTTTCTCTATAAATAAAAATAAAAATAACTCGCTAATAAATAATTAATCTAAAACAAGCCACAGCGGAACGTATATATAAAAAAAATGTCCCAGAATACATCTAAAAAAAGAAAAAGAATCCAAAACCAGAATTCCTGTAAAAAAAAATAATAACACAAAACCAAAATTCTTCAAAAACACTTAATCCAAAAACAGAATCTAATATGACAGAATTGACTCAAACGACCGAATGTCACCTTGGTTGCCTTCCTGGACGTCGGCGAGATCGAGGAGCATCTTGAGGTGCGCGTTCTCCTCCCGCAGCAGACTCACTTCTCGCTGGAGGCTCAGGATCACCTTCTCCTTCGGGTCCTGCGGGAGTGGGCGGAGGAGGAGCGTCAGAAGGATAGGTGGGCGGAGGGGAGGGGTCAGGACGATGGGCGGAGGGGTGGTTGCAAGATGTGTGAGCGGCGTTGCAAGGAAGGGTGGGTGGGATTTGAAATGGGGTGAGATGGGTAGGGATCGTTGGAAGGACGGGTGGGCGGCGTTACAGAGATGGGTGGGCGGTATTGCAAGTGGGGTGGGGTGGGCGGGGGGAGAGAAATTAAAAAGGGAGGAAAAGGGAAAAAATATATATTCACATATACCCAGGAGGGGCGGGGAGGGGGGGAAGGGGGGGAGGCGTAGATACAGAGAGAGAGAGAGAGAGAGAGAGAGAGAGAGAGAGAGAGAGAGAGAGAGAGAGAGAGAGAGAGAGAGAGAGAGAGAGAGAGAGAAAGAGAGAGAGAGAGACAGACAGACAGACGAAAGAGAGATAGGAGAGAAAAAGCAAGAAAAACTAAAAGATAGATAGATAGACAGTTAAAGAAAAAGATACAAAGAAAAGAGAAGCGAGACAAAAAAAAAAAACGATAAAAAATAGAAAAAGATAATGAAAGAGAGAGAAAAAACCACCTACCATGATAATAAGTGGCTTGGTTCGAATTCTCTTGGCGCGCGAAGCATAACGGAAAGTATTAATCGTTTCACTGACATTGCTTCTTGCTGGCGACGCACAGGCGATCTGAAGGGAAGATATAAAAGAAATATAAACTAGAAATAAAATAAAAACGAATAAAGTAATCATCGTTAAAAATCTATATACATATATTTGATGAGCTAGAATGGATACCAATGACAGATACATAAATCGTTTGGATATATATAAATAAAAATTTAAATAAAATAAAAATAAATAAAGTAATCATCTTTAGAAATCTATATACATATATATATGATACGTACGTCACTTTAGCTAGAATGGATACCAATGACAGATACATAAGTCTGGATATATATCAAAAGAACAGCAGCAATATAATATGTCCCTGCGTTTCTTCCTAATTGGTGTAAACGTTACTGCATTTGTGTTTATATTCAAGGATAGATACGCTTCGCAATCTATCCATTTACATTCGCATTCAGCGTATCACACGACAAAGCTATCAGTCAAACTACATGTACTTGTATATACTGGGATCGGAATTATAAATTCCACGCAAAATTGGTCAAGATTCATGCCAAAACCATCTATTTTTTGCATATCGACAAATTGATGATATGTAGATATATATAGAAAATGATATAAAGGCATATAAATACAATATATATTTACCTACCTACCTATCTTTCTACCTAT